TTTCCTGTAAACCAATAAACTTTTATTTGACCATCAATCCTAAGTGCAGAAAAGACAACAAGGATATGTTATTTTGTTTCACATGTTTTTGTTATAGTTAAGTGGTGCTGTTTCAAGCTAGATTCCTGATTTTGAAAGCCAGAAATTTCTTTTGCTAAGGATTGAAATACACATTACTTGAGCCATATCCATTGCTTTATCACTTGCAAAGTAGAATGTACAGAAGTCCCAAATTCAAAGAATCTGTTGCTTCCTGAATGCACTACACATTCCTTTCTAGGAAATCAACTGCCATTTGTTTATGTCATGGGAATTTTATTTTATTAGAGAATTCTTCCTGTAGGTTTCAACCGGTTAATGAATTGGTATTTCTTGACATGAAAGCACCAGTGGGAAATTGCATTCAAGTAATCCAGAGGATGAAAAGGGGAATTTGATAGAAAATATCAGCAGCAATGGAAATTAGTCCCCTAAAAACCTTAGATTTATTCAATTGTTGAAAACCACTCTGTTAGGGGGAAAAAGGACGTGGATAAATATCTTTTCTGTCTTACTCTAGAGATATTCACTTTCAATGTGTATTTCTTTACACATATTTTCTGAGTTGAGAAGTTATCATTATTTACACTATTTACATGCAGATTATTGTCTGCATCTTTTCAGCCGTTGTGGCCTCTGGCCTTCATCAGGTGTATATTGAACTGGGTAACCTACAGGGAATTCCAAACTGAACCCTTTATTTAATCTATGGGAGTAGACTGTTCTCATTCCACTGGCCATGGCTAGGGATATCTCATCTAGTTCTTATTTTTAGTACTGCTCAGTTATTTCTCACCTCGTTTACACAGAATTCAAATACGCAGTGCCCAGCTCAGGGATTGAACTCACAATCACCATGTTGCCAAATTCACAAACCAACACCTTAATCCAGAGCAGTGTGCTTGAACTCATTGGAAACAGAGCGATCAATAACTGAACATTACTAAAAAATAAAAACTATGTATGTATCCCTTGACATGGGCAGTAGAATGAGAACTGTCAACACCCTCCACACCTATCCCCACCATAGATTAAATAAAGGATTCAATTTGGAATTCCTAGGAAAATTATCTCAAGCTGCCATTGTTAATATGACTTTATAATTATCATTAGCTTTGCCTAATATCATTTTTATCATATTTCTTGTGATACAACAAGACAACAAAAATGATAGCCTAATACAATTAATCCAAAATATTCTGTTGGCAAATATAATTTTTCATTAAACGTTGTAAGCGAACTTGGAATGAATGAACAAATTTTACAGAGATTAAAAAAAGTGAATCGTTTGTTTGAACTTGATGTCAAACAAGTACAAATTAAATAGTCTTTACTTGTAGCCTTTTAGAAAAACCAAAGTGTAGTATATGTTCTTTCAGTAAATAACAATTAAATTTTCTTCATTTCAATATAATAATTAAGAAAAAGTTTCGACATAATTCCAAACCTCTTGAAAAGTTTAAATGAAAAAGAGCCTCAACAATCTATTATAAAATATCAAAGATTTTACTATTTTAATCTTTATTGGTTTTTATTTGTTATTTCTAGAATGAATTTCTAATGATAAACCTGAATCCATCCAATGACCTGGTAAGATTTCATAAAGCATCAAGACAAAATGTTGTTACTCACAAATTGGATTATATATAATAATATATCAATAAGAAGATGCTGCACTGAACAACATTTTACCTGAAGAAAGATGAAGAATTCACAGATTAAAATATGGGTAAATAGAATGAAAGTATAAAAAAATGAGGATATTTAAGTATAGGAATAAAGTGTCACTGCCGACACTGGAGTTTGAACACAGATCACCAGAGAGCAAACACAGGCAATCCCATTTTGAATAAGTAGATCACGTGATGGTAAAAGAAATGTATACATGGGAATTAGCATGGCATCTAAGTGATAATTATATGGATCACTATTCAGTGGTTACTTTTTGAGTGAGTATTATCAAGCAAGTACTATTAGTTCGAGTGTTATTCAAAGGCGTCTAACACTAGTATTGTTCAATAGTTGTTACTATAGTTGTATCTGCGATTAAAAAAAATCTTTACTACAACGAGCATTACAAAAATAAAGATAAAGAGTTCAGATAATTGACTGAGACTATCTTTGGAAAGATACAACATATATTAGCCTGACGATTGGCTGAGTTAAAATACCACCAAATTAAAGTTTGTTTTTTTTTTCTTAGGAAAGTTTGTGTTAGAGAACTTCTTTCTTTTTGTTGTAATTTGGAATCACTCGGATACTTCGTATACCTACCATTGTTAAAAATAGATCAGTCCAGTGGATACTTTAATGAATAATTTCTATCACCTGTTAAAGATTTCCTTTGTTCTCACAGATTACACCTGGTAAGAGCTGTTGTGTCAACAACAGCAATTATACAAAGAACAGATCTGATCATCTGAATAATGTTGCATGTCATTTTAAAATCGTAGACAAAATTTTTATCAGATGTTTCACTAAGCCTACCATTAAAATTATTATAGCTTGAGAACTTTTATTTATTTTATGTATCTTTGTGTTAATGACAGATGCAGAGAGAAAATTATATTTTATAGATAAGAAATACAAGAAAAAAATCTCTTCCTGATAGCATTGTTTCTTGATTAGTTGCACTGGGGTGGTTAGTGGGTAAATCTTGAGGGCTTGTTGATAATGATTGACCTGCTGTTTTAGTTGTCAGCTTCTGACAGCCATTGAACAAGATTCTTAGGTTGTAATTAATTTAAAAGGCTTGGTCAATTTCAGGTCAGATTGTTGGTAAAATTTGCATTTGGTTGAAATATCTGAGAGAACACAAATATGTTTTTCATACCATAATATCTGCTGCATTAGTCTATTAGTCTATTTGTCAAGTAATATTCAGTAGATTTTTAATCAGAGAATTTATTTGGATATAAGTTTGTCCAAATCATTCAACACTTGAACTATTGCTTGAATCTTATAGAAATAAAAGATAGAATGAGTATATCCTTGGAAGAGAGACCAATCCCAGACCCCCTTTTGGGAGTGGCAAAGGTGTGAATAACCTGCATCTGCAAGATAAGAGTAAGGAGATGGAAGAAATGCCTGCATTTTTTTTTTTTGTTGTTTTGTTTTTTTGCTGAGTAAATCTAAATGTCCCTGTTGGTTCTGGTCACTGTGGGAATTGACTGAAAAAACACTCCCTCTCCAAAATTATAGACAAATTGTACAGTTGCATGTTGGGATTTCTTCCTAGACAATAAAATAGACCACTTCTCAGTTTCATCTGCCATACTTCTATTCTTTCTTGTCTTGGTCAGAATCACTGGACTGTACCCCTTTTGTGTGTCAACACAATTCTTGCTTTGTGAACTTTTTTGCCTGATTATTGTTGCTTTGCATACTTTTGTCTTGCATATATTTATATATATATATATATATAGAGAGAGAGAGAGAGAGATTGTTTGTTTTGTATTATTTTTGCCCTGTTCTTTTCTTTCTTTTGTTATTGTTTATTGGAAACTCTGTTAATGCTGTTTGTTGGGCATTTCTGCCAATTGCATTTAACTATGGTCAATTACTCTATGGTCCCCAACAAATATTAAATTATCATTACATTGTGAGACCAGAGTGGAATGGCCACTGTACACTGCAAGGTTCTGGCACTGATTGCGAAAAACAGCAAACTGTTAGAAATATGCAATGAGTGAGGTACAATGTGTAAAAGTCTAACTTGCAATATGAAATGGTCAAGAAATATAGTATTGATTCCTTGATTTATTTCATTTTTATGGAGGGAAAACAGCTTTTGAATGACGGTAGATGTGAACAGTTTGTATTGCTATTCTGAATTAACAATTTCTGCTTGTCCATTTTTTGATTATTCACTGTAAATATACGAGAAAAATTTGACAACCTTTTTTCTTTACTATAAATGACCAAGACTTACTACTAATAAATGACTGAGACTTATTGCTAATAAATGACCAAGACTTACTGTGAATAAATGCAATTGGCTCTAATTTCCTTGTTGCTTAATGACAAAAAGCAATCTAATTCTTAAAATGCTAATTTTGGAAAAATGTGAAAGTCAATTAGTCAAGCTTTGATTTTTTTTTTTTTGTTGTTATGAACCCTGTGTCTGGTATATATGTCAGGCTTGCAGGTGTTTTTTTTTTCTCAGTCATATTAAATACTGTCATCTCACATTGAGGTATGAGAATTATGAAAATATCACATCATAAAGTCACATGAGATATGGCTTAACTTTCTGCCCTTGGCTACACACTGTCTGCTTTATGAATGCAATTATTTATTTTTCAGGATGTTATCAACAAACTGATGGTGGAAGAGAGAAATAGGTTTTCATTGGCAAAGAATTTTTTCTCTATATAATAATAAAAGAGGACCTTGTTATCCACAGTAGATAGGTTCCACATGAATGTTTAAATCTGCAGATAACAGCAAACCATATATATATATATATATATATATATATATATACACTTGGTATGTCCAAAGAAAATCACCAGATAATTGACATCCTAATTTAAAAGCATAATTGAATTTTTATTGCTTTCTGATGCAACACATTGCCATCAAATGGGACATGTTTTCTGTCTTCCAACAACAAATTTAGACAAGCGGAAAAACTCAAATTAACAAAGCAGTCACTATGAGGACATTTAAATTAATTAATCTTTCAGGTTTTACTGATTCCATGGATGGTGAGATTTTATTTTCTAGGAAGGAGGATCATGAACTTCCAAACTGGGTAGTTTTTCTGTGATGTCGAGAAAGAAACTCAATGAAAGACAAACCTGAATTCATCCAAAACCTCTTTGCATGCAGATCTTGCAAGCCAATGGGAATAAAAAAATTTTATAGACTAAATTCTTATACCAGACAAATGCTAATTTAATGATGATAATTGATTTTTATTTTTAATTGTTTTATTTTCTCCATTCTTTCCTTTTTAGGTTTGGATTGGGGAGGTTTGCGGCGAGAGTGGTTTGAATTGTTATGTACTGAATTATTTGATCCAAACTGTAGTGGACTCTTCCGAAGATTTGCTGAAGATGATTCCCAAGGCCTGGTAAGACATTTTTCTTTTCCAATTTTTAAAATTATCAATTGTTCTTTCTTTTCTTCTTTTTTTATGGTCAATTGTTTTCCTCTTTCTTCTCCAGTTTTGTTTCATTCTTTTCTTTTCCATTTTCATGTCACATTAACTGTCCTCCATTTTCTTTTCCACTCTCATGTCACATCAAGTGAACTCCCTTCTCCCCAGTCTTGTGACATGTCACATTAACTATCTCCATGTTTTTCTCACTTAATAATGATTCTTGTTTAATAATAAAACTAATTATTATTGAATTTTAACTCTGGGAATTACAAGTTAACTTATCAAAAATAAGCATTATTTTTGATTAGCTCATTGTTAATGAACATCATATTTTTAAATAACTTTATTAACTCCTAATTTTACAAAGTATTCTTTCTTGAATGAATACATTTAATGGTATTTCTTATTACCTATTGTATCTGGCATCTGATTGAAGATGTAAATCTAAGCAGTCATCCAGTGTCAAACAGGATTTAGTTATTTACTGAATTCATTTTAATCTAGTCCAAGGCCATAACTGTAAAGCACTACCCTTCCATCCAATTACAAGACTGGCTTGCTGATCACTTTCTGGTTGTCATCCTGACAAACAATGTATTTTAATTCTTTGAAAAGTTTGACTGCTTTCTTCCCTATGATTCTCTGTTATCATTTCTTTCTTTAACAGAGCATAATGTCAATAAAGCTATGAATACACATTGGTGATTGGCAGTTTCAAAAGAGTGAAGTGTTTAAAATAAAGTGATTTCAAAAATCATATTTGAGCCTTTGAAATTGACAAGTCAAGATCTGTTTTCAACTGAACATTTCTACCAAAGTTCATTTATTAATTGAGTCGATGTTATGCAAATATTTCTGTGCATTTTTTTTTTTTATCCATTTTTCACTTTTTCATCCTTTGATTATCTTTTAGAAGCTCTTGGCTTTCTGATTGACCTTGATTATAGCCTTATTTCTTATATTGTTCAATGAAACAAAGTTTTATAGAAACCCAATGAAAGTGTGCCCAGAAAATTCACTCTTCATGTATGCTGTTTGATTTGTTGAAAACTCAAAAGATAAAGTTGAGATTATTTTTTTAAAAAAGGAGAGAGACACCTCTGAATTAAGACAAACTTTGAAAGAGGCTTTTAGTTTATTTAAACTAAAAGTTTGTCTCAAAGTTTGTCTTTAAGAGCAACTAAAAGTTCTTTGCCATTTTTACTCATTCTAAACTTGACTCAATCATAATGCCTATTTGCTGCTCTTTTAATATTTATTAGTAATTAGGAATAGAGTTAAAGATCTGTGAAATCCTCATTCTTGCAATAGTCACATTATTTGAATTATTGCCTTTATTAATTACTCTTATTACATTAAATATCTTAGGTATAGAACCTATAAATAGTTTATGTTGCTGAAATCACCATTTGTAATTTTTTTAGATTTGAGTTTTGAAAATTGTTTTTGTCTCAAATACATTTGTTTCTGTAAAAGTTTTCCAAATCAATTAACAAGAATGTTAGCGAAAATAATAGAATGAAGATTACTGAGAGGAATTTTTATTGAAATAATTCTCTTATCACTGATTATCTGACATTGAATTAAAAAAATAATTTTTCTCTTACTTTACGTGTTTGTATTTTATAGGTGCATCCTAATTCCAAGCGACCACCAACTTTGAAATTGAAATATTATGAATTTGCAGGCAAAATAGTTGGCAAATGTTTGTATGAATCTGCCCTTGGGGGTAGTTATAAGCAATTAGTAAAAGCAAAATTTTCTCGGTCATTCCTGGCTCAATTGATAGGTCTACGAGTACATTACAAGGTAAGATCAATCTTCCTTTGTTTCATGATATACTTGAGAGGCAGCAAAAGAAATACACTTTTCTTTCTTTCTTTTATTTTTTTTTTCAAGACAGTATGTTCCCCAGAAAATACAAAAAGAACCATCTCTGATGTAAGAATATGACTGTTTATTGCTTTAATTTTGAAGGCCTTTGTTTTTTTCATTTTTTTAATTAGAAATCAATAGGAAAAGCATTTTACAACATAAATAATTCTATTCATCTTACATGAAACTGAATCTTATTTTTCATAAATCCACATACTAAGATATTGAAATAATTCATGTAACACTGGATTGTGTTAGTATAAATAATAATGGGTAATATATTTAATTAATTGGAAAGACAAATTAATTGCAGTTTGAAAATATGTGATACTTAATCCTGCCATTATGTCTAATAAATGGTTTTAACATAATAATAATATTTTTATACATAATATATAACATGCAAAATCATGGTGATTCTCAGCATAAGGAAAATGGTATCGTTTTTGGGGTTTTTTTTTGGGGGGGGGTCCCTCAATACAAGACCCAAGAGCCACTCTAGGAAAAATATCCTATATTTGTCCAGAAAGTATGCATCATACATTTTTTTTTTTTTAAGCATTTCAGCCCAAGCAAGGTGGGAGTGCCACTGGTATACAAGGGGCTACAGAGAGTGTATATAAGGGAAAAGACTGGGTATGGGGGGGGGATAAAAAGAAGAACGGAGAAAGAAAAAAAAAAGAATCAAGGCAACAGAAGATGCTGATTGACATTACATTTAAATTTTTGAAGATTATAGTTATCAGGGAAGCAAGTAAGAAAAAGGTTTTTTTTTTTACAAGTGTAACAAAAATGGCATATTTGGTAAAGAAAATGTGATTTACAATGTATGTAATCAAAATTTTCGAAATAAAAATGAAAACACTCTATCCATAAGCATATTTTGCAAACTGATATGATTTCAGGCATTTAAGCATTATTTACAATATTAAAAACCAGTTCAAATCAGTTTTCCACTGTTATTATTATTATTAACCACCAGTTTCACATGTTGTTTATAACTGTTATGTTAATTTTACTAGATGCTATCACAAGTGTGTGTGTGTGTGCACAAACTGAAATTGTCTCATCATTAAAACTACTGTTTAATTCCAAGAGTTGTCATTCTTGATCTGACTTATCCTCCATGATATATTCAACAAGATGAGTCTTTATGGCCTTTGACCAACTTAACAGATTTTGCTTAATGGACATAATTTCCATATTCGGCTTTAAAAATCAAATTGTGACAAAGAATTGTTTTATTATTCATCTCCAGTCTGGTCTTTTGTGATCTTTATAAATATGCAATTTGTTTTGATGATAGCTTTTATGATTGGTTAATTATTCAAAGCCATTTTCTGCCTTGGTAACAACATTGACATTTTAGATCTCACAGTTTGTATCTATAATGCAGGCGTCCTCCAAGGCTCTCTCCTTGGTCATATCTTCTTTCTGCTATATATTAACAATCTGTCTAAGAATTTATTCAGATCATTAGTAAATATCTCTGCAGATGCATAGATGCATCTCCAGAATTCTAAATGACCCAGAGTCTGACAGCTGATCTCTCTTCTGATTGAGCTCTAACAGCTCAATAGGACAATGAACTGCTTTGTAACATTCAATATCTTCAAAACCAAGCTAATGACATTTCATCATGCAGACCCTGATTTGTTTCCTGTCATGATGAATGCTTGTACTCTCAATGAGGCTCCTTAACTGTAACGTCTGTTAGGACTTAAGCTCACATCTGACCCCAAGTGGAACTTGTATATACAGTACATGGCTAAAGATGCTTCAAAAATAGTTAGTTCCCCCATACCATTCCAGAAAATACCAGACTCCTCCTTCCATGCTATATCTTTACAGGAGCCAGATCAGAACAAAAATCAAGTCTTGCTGGCCAATTGTCACTTTCTAGCCTTTCCCACAGAAGACTGCTAGCCTCTCGCTGCTTTACCGCTATTTTAATGGCAGATGTTTGATCCGACTACATTCTCCAATTCTCCCACCAGTCTAGACCTTCAGAGCCACGAATTGCCATGAGACATACACTGAGTCAACTTATCTTCATTCCTTTCATATTCCATTGATAAGGAGGAAGTTCCACACAGCTTCTTCCCCAGAATTGTTACATTTTAAAACAGACTCTAGAGAGGATGCTTTCTTGGTCACTATAATCTTAACCTTTTCAAGTTGATGGGCAACCATTATCTATCTTACATATCACATTGCACCCTTGCAACATCCACATTCAGTAACTGTTTACCTTGAGTGTCACTTGGGTATTGTATTGTGTGAACAATAGAAAAAAAAATATAAAGTGGGGAAAAAGCAATTGTTGGGATTTTTTTGTCATTAGTATATTTTGGAGAGGAGATGGGCGCTGCCAAGTTATCTACAAACTCACTGAAAGGATTATGAAGTTAGAGAAACAAAACATTTATGGCTTCTGCATTCGGATCCCCACTACGATTACAAAAGTCAAGGGGATGATGATGATGATGATTATGATATTTTGTTATTAGTATATCTTGTTATTTGTATATTTTACAAATCTAAAATTTCACTTCTGAAAGGTTTATTCTTTTATTTAAGTTTTGTTAATAAAAATAATAATCTAAGTTACTCAATTTGTTTTATTAAATAATATTTATCATTATTGAATTTGACTGAAGACAAAAAGCAGCCATTCTACTGTTTAAAAGAAAAAGACTTTTAATGTATTTTACAGATGCTAAATAAATTAAAATAACAAAAAACAAAAAATATAAATAAAAATAGAGTTTAGAATTTTTTATTTTTTTATTGTGAAATAAACTTTGAAACAAAAAGAGATTTAATGAATCCAATTTGGAGATTTTGCTTTTTATCTTAAATCTTACTTATTATAAAACACAGATTGTGTGTGTGTGTGTCTGTTCGTTTATATATTGGATCAGATTTCCTAAATTTTTCAACCGATTTCAACAAAACTTCACAGAACTACGTAAAATTACATTGCGGTGATTCTGACAGCACCAAAAATTGGAAAAACACAATTGTTTTTGCACGAAATCAATTTGAAAACACGATTAAGAGGCATCTGTCGCCAGAATGAAAGGAATTTCAGAATGAATAGGAATTTCACTGTAATACTGAAGTAACTCGGTAACAAGCTCAATAACAAGTTCCAAGTCAAACTAACAGAAGTAACAGTTCACATTTGTTAACAAATGCAATTCATTATATAAAAGAAGATTGATGTTATGATTTTCACTATGAATTCTGATAATAACAAACAACTGCAACATCAATATGTAGAACATGTCTCTCAATACATTTAACAAGAAAAAATTATTTTGGTCATAGTCACATACATACAACAGGTATTGACACCATTGTCCAGGAGTAAAGATCCAAGTATACATGCGATATTAACCATGTCATCCTATGAAGTCATTTGTGCCACACGTGGAAGAGAAGCCTTCAAATCTGAAACCATGCCAGAATGGATTCTTGAAATGTTAACACGTCATCTTGGAGATACTGCAACATCAGTTATCCTTTTGTCCAGTAACTCTCCTCCTTGTCACAATAATTTACATCAATGCACAATCCAATATCCTAGTTTTATTGTTCTTCAACTTGGTTTTTATTTGTCTCCATTTAATCCTGTCAAAATATGTTGGTTAAAAATGAAGAAAAAATATGAAGTGAAATATGCAAGTAGCAATTGTTAATCTACCTGCCATTAACCTTTGTCAAGGTTGAGTATGAAAGTAAATGTTATTGCCTTGGGAAGTAAAATTGTTGTAGCAGTGCCTATCTTTTCTCTCTTCCATCAATCATTGTGTCATGCCAGTGATAAAACCTCTTGTCAAAACATCTGGCAATGAGATCAATCCAGGGAAACTTAGATTCATGCCATCCTCAAGGACAGTAGTATGCATGAAACACAATAATTGTTACAACACCCAAAACCTTCTTGTATGTGTGTTGTGCATATCATTGCATAAGAATGAAGAAAAATTCAAAATAACAAACAAAAGTTTTCCTTCAAAATGGCAGTTTGTATCTTGCATGTGTAATAAATTCAGCACACCTTGAGGTGGACAAGTTATTTTCTTTATGTTTATTTGTTTTATGATTGCAAACCTCCCTGACCTATCACCTTAAATAGGTTTTTAGATCTTCATTTCTGGGAGCTTTCATTTTTTTTTTTTTTTTTTTTCTCTCCTGTAATGCCCTCATGTCCCATGAGCAAACACCCAAATGCACCCTTGATGATTAAGTAGATATTATGTACCCACCATTATTACTATATCTGAGACCTAATCTACAAGAAAAATTGCATACCTGCATGTGAAAATGGTGTCGAAGATAAAAACATTTGTTTTCCAAACAGCCAATCTCTATATTCTGATATTTGCTAATTAAAACTGTCAGATCCTTTGCTGACTTGTTGGAGGTCAGGATTCATCCATTTCCATTGCATTTCTTCTCCCCAAGGGACTTTCTGCTGCCTATTTGTCTATAGCAAAAGCAGCAGCTGAAATATTCCTATTTAACACGTGTGTGCCTAGTGGAGCTACCATTTCCCTTTGGCCATAACTTCATGCATAGCTTTCATGATGAAAGTTTTTAGGCACATTTCAAATGAAATGAATTTTGTTTTTCTTCAGAAAAACAAGGTTTTTAGCACATTTCTGCATTTCAATAGTTCTTTCTTATTAAACAGTTTTTTTTTTTGTCACATCCAACAAGAATAAGCACAATTCAATTCTTTTTTTTTTTTTTTATAAACCAAATTTTTCTTCTTTTGTCCTTTTCTGTTCATGTTACATTGTTTCTGAAATTTGATCAATTCAATGTGTCACATACAAGTAATACAAATACTGTACTTGTGTGCAAAGATTGTTTTGAAACCTTAGCACCATAACTAGCTGTTCAGTTTTTAAGTATTAAGCTAT